CCCCCCCCCCCCTTCCCCCCCATGAGGGGGGGCGCAATGGCAAACCGGTCCGGGTTGGCTTTTTTGGAGGAAAAAAAAAAATCCCCCGGCCCTCAAAAAAAAATTTTCCCCCAAGAGGCGGGGGGGGGGGGGAAACAACCCCCCCCAGTTTTTGGGGCAGGGGGGGGACCGCCCCCCCCCCCCCCCCTCGGAGGAGTATAACAGGAGGGTGGACGGTTTTTTTTTTTGGCCCTTAGAGTTTTGGGGTAATTTTTTTTGGGGGGGGGGGGGGGGGGGGGGGGCGATCTTGAACGTGCCCCGAACCACTTGAGGTAGACCCAAGCGCTCATTGTTTCGAAAATCACGGATTTAATTGAGGCTTCTTTTGTCTTCAGAATGTAAGCCTGGGCGTATAATATATCCGGTGTTTTTACTCAAAAGAGGACGTGACACCCGGCGTAGATTGTCCGCCACAAAGGTGGTTTGCATAGCATCGTCGTGGGGGTTGTAGTGCGCGCACATAACGTGGTTGCGTTGGACGATCTCCCACGACACTGCCGCAGAGCGTACAAGTGACCCTTAGTCGCTGAATGCTCTTTTCGGGGCAAGTGAGCCTTTTTTGTGGGGTTGTGTCTTGATGGATTTCTGCCGGTTGCCATTGTTTAGGGTGGGAAGAGTTAACGTTTGTTTGTGTTCGTTTGGTTGGGGCGGAAGGCGACTCCTCCGGGGGATTGGTGGGGGCGTTCACTAGTAGCGAGATCAGAGCAACCGAAATATCAATGCTGAAAGTTCACAGTGCTACTACATACGTAAATACCGCAGTCAGCAGCGGTCTCGTTCAAAACCATTTTTCAATTGCCAATCGTTACGGATGACGGCCATGCAGCCTCCTGCTGCCCATGGGTCCCGAACAGCTCACCCGACACTCTCAGTGATCGTAGACAGGTGTATCCGCGCGCTGCAGGGCTGAAGGTGCCGGGTTCTCGCTGTATTGGCCGACAAACGGGGTGTGGTTGAGTTTTTGTTACTTGATTTGAATGCGGCTTGAGAGAGACAAGTATGTTAGGCTTGTGAGAATGCGTTTCTGTCACATCACTTCACAAAAAGCTTGTCTTTAGTCGGTTCTGGAACTGCTCCTGCCGGAGCGCGCTTCCCTCTCCCTCCCCGCCCTCGCGCGAAGAATCACCAGCCAGCAACGGTACCTCCACGTCCTGTCCGCCGGAGCACGCGCCAGAAGCGCTAGTGCGCGTTGAATCTCTTCTCTGACCGAGTTTCGGGGCGCTGCAGAGGTGCCGGCAAACAGTGCAGCGGCCAGTTCAAGGTGGTCGGAGGGTGTTTCACCACCGCTGCCGAGGGCGGTTTCCAACGCCCCCCATCTCAACAGGAGGCCAACCACCCTGTCCACACCTGGCCGAGGTATAGCACATGCCCAATGCAACACCGACATCCCGTTGTTGGTCTTTTCATTGACGTTGCCCCCCCGCTTCACAAGGGCAACCATGGCTTCGTCATGTCTCATTAAGGCGCAGTAGAGGAGAGGTGTCGATCCTTCCGCCGTTTTGGCATTGACATCGACTCAAGCATCGAGAAGCACGTCTACCACCTCACCCCCGCGCTCGTGTTGAGCGGCATAGTGCAAAGCGGTGCAGCCGTGGTCGTCGACAGCGCTCGCGTCTCCGCCGTTCCCGAGTAAAGCTTTGACCACCCCAACATGTCCTTGTGCTGCCGCCACATCGAGCGCCGCCATGTGTGAAAAGTCCCCGCTATCGGTGGCACGTGGGGTGGTGTCGGCACCAGCCCGCAGAAGAACCTCGACTGTAGAACGGTGGCCATTTCTAGACGCCAGCATCAGTGGGGAAAACCCATCGTTGTCGAGAGCGTCCATGTGGGTGCTGGCGTCGCCGAGCAGGGTCGACACGACACGACTGCTGTCGCCAAGTCCAGCAGCACGATGAGCGGAGTACGGCCGAACCCTTTGCGAGAATTCGGCCAAGCTCCACCGGTCAGAAAATAATTATCAACAAGGTCGCGGTGTCCTCCTTCAGCGGCGACATGGAACGGGGTACATCTGTTCCCTAGGTCGACCCGGTGAATATCGGCTCCAGCAATCATGAGCGTCCTCACTGCCGCTTCGTGACCACGTACAACGGCCAGGTGCAGTTGCCACACATCGAAGGTCACCCTCACCCTCACCACCCGCCCACAGCTTTGCCAGACGACTTACGCAAGAACGGGTGTAGCACCATGTTTTCTAATCCTCCTCCGCCCAATTCTCCAGGGGTTCAAGGAGAAGATATCTGTTGCTTATGCCGAGAGAGAAAAACAGAATCTAAGGAAAGAAACCAAGGATAAGGCCGAGTCTCACGTCGTGATTATTTCGGGATTTTTATTGGGGGGTCCTTTTCTCAATAAGGTGTGTCTAGAAGTGTACGGAATGTTGAAAGAAGGAATAGGGTTCAAGGATTACCTACACGGACCAATGGATGCAGGGACATAGCTCAAGGTCAAATTCAGGACCGGGGACATGGACCTTCGAGAACGTCGACGAAGACATGGGACGGTAGACGACGAAGACGACAAGTTCAAATGTGATTGCGGCTTCGAATGCGAAGACCGTGTTCATGTAGTCGCGGAATGTCCGTGGTACGAACAGGAGAGGGAAGTGTACATGACTGAGCTGGGAAAAATACAAGGGACGTACAGGGAGATGTTTGAGGCATGGAATAGAGAGGAGAGGACGTAGCTGTACTGGGGAG